GCATGAGTTGGTGTAAATCTATTGAAAATTTTCATTTTGAAAAATATTATTCGGATGCATCCTTAAATCATAAAAAATTATTTAACGAGTTAATTAAAACTAGTTTTGCATGCAGTGCGAAGAGATAATGAAAATCCAAAAGTTTAGTAGATCAAGCAAGTATCACATCAAAAACAGTACCTGCCACATATACTGTCATTGATATGTTCAATGTTTTACATGATCAAAAACATTCGAAATATTCATCGGCACATGGATTAATCAATGTCGATATATGTGTTTGATTAAACTACTGAAGATTTCGTTTGATTTATACCACCATCTAATAATCAAATTCCAATACATTATGCAACTTGTACGGTCTTAGCTTGTTTATTTGTATTTATATATAAAGTATTACATTACAATACAACAGACAAACATATAGGAAATCATATTTGTGGTTCTACTTGATTATTGTTTGCTCTTCGATGACAAAACTGATTGAAATGAATTTTAAATAAAACATAGAATAATTGTTGACGAAATCGTTTTGATACACATACATATATATAGAATGAACCCTACAAATATTCAAATCTGTCAATTTCATAATAATGTTTTAATGTGATTAATATTTACTGCATAACGGAAATAATAAATGATAATTGCTAAATTTCTGATATAGTTCAGTAGCGTAGCAATATTTTGATTAGTAGCAGTGATAGAAATAATAGTAAATATGCTTACAATAATCGATGGCATAACAACAATAACATCATAAAAAACATGTACAAGAACTATCACTGTTAATTGTTTGTCTAATTCACGTCGAACTAATGGCACTGTTCGATAAGCTATTTGTTGAACATTTCTATATGCTAAAATTCCAAATAAGATCATAATTATGATAGGTAAAATACCCAACAGAACTGGATTATGAAAAAAATTTTGATATTTTAGAAAAATGGCGTTTGTTATTGTGCAAATGACTGTGCCTGTGATGGGTGATACAATGTGACTATTATAGAGCAAAAATGGAATTCCATATAAAATCCAAACGATGACAATTCCTATCAACAAACAGCGAGCTGATTTGAGATTACACCATTGTTGCCAACGAGGTTGAGAACAAGTCGCCAGGAATTGATCAATAGCTGCCAAAGACATGCATGTAAAAGATGTCAATATACATAATTGAACATAGAATGAACGAAATTTACAGTAGAATAATGATGTATCAGACCAATTAATAGCAAATCCGTTGATCATGATAAAAGTGAGTAAACCAGTAAATAAATGAAAAATATTAACAATTGACATAGCAATCAAATAGAATGCACATGAACTTTCTCGAAAAGTTCGAAGGCTAACAAATACAATTAGAGTTAATGTGCAACCAATAAGACCAGCGATAAAAAGAAAAAACCCCACATAAATTACTACTTGTTGAGTAGCAAGACCAAGAAGAGAAACATCAAAATTTGACATTTTCACAGAACAAATACAAATTCTTCCTTGTATATAACAATATATCAACTTTTTTTCCGTTATGTATAAATGTAATAATTATTTTCCGTATAAATTTTGTGTTCTGATGTGGATGAGTCGTCTTCTGTTAATCGAATTGTAATGAGGCAATTATATAAGGAATGAGATGATTAAAAACGATGTAATTAACTCCTATGCTATCATCCATAGGATTTGTATATTAATATAAAAGATAATCTTATTGACGTCAAACTTTTGTATTAATGAGATTCAGAATTTTTCTTCATGTCGTTATCGGCAACATCATCAAAAACAGATATTAAACAACAAATACTCTGGTGATCTTTATATAGAATGTTGTAAATTTTATTAAAGTGTTTATTATTTCTTGTTGCGATAACCTTGAAAACAGAAATATGTATCTAATATCTACTCAACTATCAAAAAACAAATTTCACTGATTCATACAGTGAAAAATCTAAATTCTTTCTTTTTCATTTCATCTCATCAATAAACTAGAATAATGGCAAAATTTTATACAAAATGTCAACTATTAGTTTTATAATCTGTTTTTGTCATAAGTATTGTGTGATAATTACTTGTTTAAATAGTCAAAAAAAAACATATCCGAATAGTTATTTGATCTATTTATTTGTATTTCTCAATTTACACATAGTTAGAAAATCGATCATGTCTATCTGAAAAAAGTTTCGTATCTTTATTCTATCAATCGTCTGCGTTGAGTATTTACATGCGTGTCTTATTTATATTTATACTCGTTCTTTTGGTGCTGAAAGAACGAAGTATAAAGAGAGGATTGTCTACCAGTGAAGAAAATGAAATTTTATATTTTGCTTCTGTTCAAAAGAAAGAAAATTAAATTGAAATTACATCACATATATATCTTATAACTCTTTCTTCAAGATTTATCGAAAAGAAGAGAAGCAAAACAATAGGTCTTGATATTCATCTTGAATTGTTCTCTCAATATCTTCTATTTTATATGAAAATATTCATTTTTATAAATCAAATCGAAATATTTCCTTGTTATTATTAAGTGAACATTTTATCACGGTTAAAAAAACCAATAATTAACGGAGATTAAATTGAATGTTATCAATGATTTCGATAGATAATTAATACTATCAATTTAAAATAAATATTGCTTGAAAATGTTTCGATTATCGATATATATTTACTACATAAAATATCTTGATCATCTAATTTTTTTTTCTTCAGATCACAACAATGAATTATAGTTGTCAAATATTTAATTACAAATCATATCGATCGAGTTTTTTCTCTACTCGATTTTATATTGAAAATATTTAATAAGTATACACATTTCAACTATGTTAATAGATGTTAAGTATTTATTTAAATAAACATTGTCTTTTTTTTCCATTTCCTCTATTTTCATTAATTGAAATGGAATAACACCTTTTTAAAGAATATTTAGAATTGAAACATATTTGTTTTGAATAAAATAATTGTTTAAATTCCAAGTAAACAACATTATCTAATATAACTGTGATATATATCCAAAAGATAAAATATCATGTTCTATATTGTTTATGATGAGTTTTTGTTCAATAAGAATAAATTTAATTTAAGGGTGGGTGTGGGTATTGATCATCTTGACTCACCACCACACCATATCCACACCTACACCCACATGAACCGCACCTAGACGCATTTGATATACCTCCGATTAAGACACGGACGAAACTAGATTCAGAAACTTATTAATACAACAAAGTATTTACGTGATTGGTTTTTTATCCACCGAAAAATATATATCAACGTTTTCTATTAAATTAATTTAGTTAGAAGAATGTTGAATGCTGAACATTTGTAAAGTTCTTCTTACGAAAGATAGAATAAATGGATTTTTCAATAGAATAGAATAGGTATATATATTCTAGAACATCGGTACTCTAAAAATTAAAATGATGAAATTTTAGAAAAAATCTAAATGAATTTTTTCAAAGAAAAAAATAGCTGGCATAAT